GTGTGTGTGTGTGTGTGTGTTTAAATGTATGTCTTGTGGACTCTTGAAGAGGCTTCTAGAATCAGAATTTGGCCTTCCCCTTATTTTATAGACTTTACTGAGGGATTACTGTAGTTATGTTCCTTAGAACTGAGAGGGCCAGAGAGACGCACCCTGCCCCCGTGGGATTCAGTCACGGAGCCAGCGGAAGCCCCGAGAAGCACATCTGGGTTCTGGCTCCGCCTCTGATGAATTGAAGGACTGTTGATTGATCACAGACTCCATGCTTGGGACACAGCAATGAACAAGACAAACTTTTAGTAGTGCGGGGGTTGCAGGCCATTAAAGAAATAACCAAGAAAGATGATTTGTCAGGTGGTGATGAAGAAGAGAATGGTAATGAGATAGGGAGTGACTTGGGGGTTCCTGTAGATGGGGTGCTCAGGGAGAGGCCCCCTGGGGAGGAGACATCTGCCACTAAGTAGCTGTGGAACAGCTAGCCAATCTCCCCTTTGCTTCAGTCTTTTAATTATGAAAGTCAGGGTGTGGATTAGAGAAGTCCTTTGGGCCTGCCCAGCTGTGAGATGTAATGATTTTATCTTCAGCGTGATCCCTTTACCCAGTACTAGAAAAGGAAAAAAAAAAAAAAACCACCAAGCCAATTATACTACATTATCTCTCCATTCCTCCTCCAGGGTCACGAGGTCTTATATTTATAGGACAGAGATGGCAGGAGCAAGGGACAAGCACTTTTATTCAGTTAGCTTCGTTCCCGGGGGCCATCCCTCCTGCCTTCCACTGTCCCTCCAGACTGCAGCTGGGTTCGGCAGATCCCTAAGGGCTTCTTCCTTGAGGGAAGGCCCACCTTCCCCTGGATCTGTGACACTGAGCCAGTGCCTGGAGTGTGAGAGGGCCCACTGAGACAAGGCCCCCCTGTGGGATTTGGCCCAAATCCTGCAAGGCCCCAAGGGGCTGGGTGAAGGTTGGAAGCCTCGAGGGGCCCATGCTGCCCTCTCTCAAACTCTCTGCAGAGCTCCTGGGAGATGTCCACTGTTCTGTGGATGCTGTGTGAAGCTTGTTTCTGCAGAGTGGATGGCTCCCTGGAGACAGGGACATTCACGTAGCACCTATAGGTCATCTAGGCCATGAGGGTGATGGGGGAGGATATGGCCTGGGAGATTGGGTATAGCCTTCAAGATGCCCCTCAGTCCACTGCATTGCCTATAGCTGGAACATCCTGCTTGGCCTTTCCTGGGCTTCTAAACCAGGGGATGGGCCAAAGGAGTGGGCGGTAAATAGCTAAGGATAACCGATGGTTATTTCTCCCACACGTCACCAGCATGAGCTTCCCCTGACACTACACGAAGCTGGTACTATCTCCTAATCTCCAGAGTTTATAATTATCTATGCAAACATCACCACAATAGTGAGCTGAAGCCCTCATCTTTCCCCCAGCCCCTGGCATAAGAAAAATGTCACTGTCAGCCCTGGCCTCAGCCTCTCTGGTGGCCTCCAGGCACCATTCATAAGGGCACACAGCCCCTCCAGAGGAATCAGTCACTAGCTGCTCCCAGCAGCCCAGAGATCACTTGGGCATCCAGAGTGAGCGAGAGGCGGTGCCTTCATCTGTACTTCATTCTTGCTGGCACAAGACATTGCAGGACCCTTACTGGAAATTCAGTTGTTTCCCAAACCTGAAAGGAGACAGATGCTCTTGGTCAGCCTGTGCACGTGGACCCTGACTTTTCCCAGGATTAAAGGAGGTGAGGAGGCTTCTGGCCATCACTGGGTCTTGGGCAGTGCATCCTTCTGTCCTGCCTCCCAGGGCCTGCACCCACTCCCCACGCTCTCAAGGCAGAAGCTTCTTTTGTCTTTCGCAAAAATTTCATCTTCCTGAGCCAGGACCAACATTCATTTTCTAACCCTGAGGTGTTCACTGCCATTCTTACTTAATCCTTGGAGAGAGTCTTTCCTTGCTTTTTGCTCCACATATTAATTATATTTCAGGATGGTTCCTCATGACCACGTGGCCCCCATCCTGTCACCTCCCATGGCTCTGAGTTCTAGCCAGGATAGCCCCAATCCATATTGTAACTGGCTTTTTAGTTCTCTGGGCCTCACATTTCTCATTTACAAATTGCTAGAGCAGGCAGGGTATTTGGAAAAATCAAGGAAGCTAGTATAACTCCTTACTTCCCAAAGTGTGGTTCATGGACCAGCATCATGGGCATTTCCTGGGAGCCTCTTAAGAAATATAGTCTTGGGGGCGGTGCCTGTGGCTCAAGGAGTAGGGCACCAGCCCCATATACTAGAGGTAGTGGGCTCAAACCTGGCCCCAGCCAAAAACTGAAAAAAGAAAATACATGGTTTTGGGCTCTATCCCCGACTTACTGGATCAGAGTCTTTATTTTAACAAAGCCCTGAGATTCACTGGCATTCCATAGTGTGAGAGGAACTGGTACAAGTGATAAGTAGTTACTTTGCTTAAAGTTTGGCCAATATAATAAGAGCAAAAAGGAAATTCTGAGATTCTTGGGTGAAGTAATGAACACAATACTTAAGAAAAATTGCAAGGGGCAGAGAGACTGAGAGGTGAGGCTGGTCAGGGACAGGTGAGCAGGTGAGGCCATGGGTCCTGGCAGTGGATGAAGAGTGTGGGCTTGGTCTGTCTGAAACTGCTGAGGAAGAACCTATAATCCTTGGTGACACGCTGAATGTGACAGGTGGTGGGGAGGAAGAGTTTGAAAATAACTCAAGGCTATGAGCCCTTTGTCCTTCAAGTCTAATTCTGTGTGCAGGACCCCTGGGATGGCCTTACTGTTTAATTAAACAGAGATGGTCCTCATTTTAAGACATTCTGACCTATCCTAATTAAACTGCAAGTCAGGGCAGAGACTCCCTGCTTTCTTCTCTCTAGTGCGAGACCTCTGGGTGCAGGGCCGCTGGTCAGACCTGGAGTCTGATGTTTCCTCTACACTGCTGACAAGCCACTCAGGGCAGGATTAGTCAACAGTGCTGCTGGTAATGAGCATGGAATCTGAGCCAGCCTGCAGTGCTGGCTGGGGTGGGGACGCACACGGTACTCCAAGGCACAGCTGCTCACATGCTCAGCCTCCACACAAAATAAAAGGCACTATTTCCAGTTTACCCACTTTATGAGCCCTGGTTAAGTGATGAAGCTCTGTCTATACTGGGATTTTTTATTACTGTAGGCTCCCAGAATGAAGGATACCGCTATAGATAAACCATCAAACCCCCCAAATATCACACCTCATGGTGTTGGGCCAGTTCTCACAGCAGAGCCCGACCTCCCTGGCACTTGGCAGTTTCTGAGCGACACTTATGGCCATTACCTCAGGAAGGCTCACAGCCTGGGCAGGGGTGGCATCTATACATGGCGGACACTGAGAAGGAGGCTCAAGGAGGTGACCTGCCCACGGTCACACAGGGCAGAGACAGCCCTTGAATTTGGTCTCTTTCCTCCCAGTTCTGTGCTATTTCTCTTTCCCTAGGGGGGTTTCTCCAAGTGGGGCAAGGGCTGGGTTGGGGGCTGGGAGAGGCGGAGCCTCTTCCCACCACCTCCTGGACAAGACAGATTCATGGTTGTGGGGGTCACATCAAGTTTCCTTTCCAGATGGAAATAAGTCCAAATTTAGGGATTAAGGGAGACTAAAAACAATAAGGCCCTCTAGAAAGGGGTTTAGTTCATTTTCTTAGAGGTAAAGACTGTCCTTGGCAGTTGGAAAAGGCAGATTTGACTCTGTGGATGACTAACACCCCTTAGGGGGGATATATACCTGTCCACATGTGCCCCTGGCAGGGATTTAAATGTTCCACAGCTTTTCCACGAATCCTAAATCACATAGATTCATCCCAGCCCTTGGTGAAGTCTAAGAGCCGGTGAGGCTTATGTTAAATCACCCTCTCTGGGCCCCTGCTCCCGAGCTGATAGTCACAAATTCCCCTTAATGAGCACTCCTGCAGAAGCCAAGACAGCTGCCTGCTGAATTAGGAGTGGAGAGCGTGGGGGGCGGGGAGAGGGAACTGTTTGCTTTGGCTGGGCAGGGGCCCGGGCCCCAGCTTGTGTGTTTGCCTGACAGGGTGGCCTGATAAGTGGGCTGCGTATAAAGTGCTGTGTAGTGGGACCGGGGCCATCTGCTGTGTGTCCAGAGAGGTCACATCTGCTGGCCTAAGGGAGCTGGCAGGAGAGGGACCCCTTGTCGACCTATCTTTGGCTTCCTTTGCAGCCCCATGGTCACTAAGAAACCAGGATTGTTTTTCTTCCTTTAGAAATAAAAATGGAACCCTGGAACTTCAGCTTGCGTTGATGAATTACTTCCAGGCTGCTGTTTGTTTGGAGAACAAAGCTCCCTAGCGGCAGGGTGGGCAGAGCTGCGGTCACCACCACCTCCATGCTGCCTCTTTGCTGAGGCCGAGAGGCAAACTCCTGATAGCAAGATAAGCACAGCTGGTGGCTGGAGCTTTTCCAGACAGCGTGGCCCAGTGGAGAGGAGCAGAAAATTTGGGTTATTCTGGCTCTGCTGTTTGTCAGCTGTGTAACCTTGGGCAAGTTATTCAACCTCTGGGTGCCTCAGTTTCCTCACTTGTCAACATGGGGCTTATAATCCTGGCTTTCTATGTCTTACAAGAGTATTGAGAGCATCAAATGAAATAAGTGAAAAACTGTATAAATGTTAAGGTGCCATACATATTTTAATGAACATGCCCCATGCTCAGTTCAGTCCTCCGTACTGTCTGGGACAGTGTTAGTGGGAGGAGGACCCATTTAGACGTAGACTGTGGGTTTGGGCCTCTTCTCTTCTGAGACAGTGGATAATACTACGTCTTACGTTTATAGAAGCTTGAACATAACTTAAAAAATATTGCTTGCTTGCAGGCTTCTTGTGGGGGGATGGTAGTTAGTTTCTATGGGTGTGTTACAGGGAGAGGGTCTCCCAGCGGGAAAGGCCATCCCCCATTTTGCCCTGGACACTCTCCCCTCCCACTTTCTGAAGGAAGCTTCTCCTACAGCTCTGCACCCCTCTTCCACCTCTGTGTCAGTTTCTCTTTCCACAAGTTTCAGGAGCTAAACTCATCTTAATTAGGATTCGTTTACAATAAACACAGGCTACCCACCAACCCCCATCTGCTTCCCTGCAGCTCCAGCCCCAGCTAAATTCTCTGGAGGGGCTGTGTCTGCTCCCAGCCTCAGCTCCTCCCTCCCCTCTCTCCCAGGCCCCTGCTTAAATGGGCTAGTCCTAGTTGGCTGCCACCCTGACCTGCAGAACGGCCAGGGGTCAGCACTCCATCCTTGCTCACCCTCTCAGCAGGCCTAGGCTCCCCTAAGAACTTGTTCTGCAGATCTGCCTGAGGCTTCGCTCAGCATCTCAGCTTCCTCTGGGCTCCAGCTGTTGGAGTGGCCCAGGGGCTGTCTCAGAGGAGACAATACCCAGTCCCAGCTTTAAACAGCAGCTGGCACTGCCACTACGGTCTCTTTCTAGCCCAGAGTTTCTCTCTGAGCTCCAGACTCACGCCCAGCTGTTTATCCCGTGCCTCCTCTTGGACGTCCTCTGGAACTCTGAACAGGTCCCCAGGGCTCTCCATTCCTCTGGCTCCGTCCCTCTGACATCCCCCCCTCCCTGCTTTCTCAGGTCAGTAAGTGACACCACCATCCTCACAGCTTCACTGTTCTCCTCCTTCCCTCTCATCTCACGTCCAACCGGCTGGTGAGTCCAGGCCACTCTCACCTTCACGGTAGCCCGATGACTGGTCTACACTGGGTCCCTCCCATCTACACCACATGTGACCGCCAGATGAGCTTTCCAAAGCAGCAATCAGATCCTATCACTCTCACGGTTAAAATTCTTCTCTGTTTCCGCTATACGGAGGATAAAATCCAACCCCCTTCCCTTGGCTCAAGTTCTCCGGCTCCCTGCCCTCCAGTCACTCTGGCCTCCTTCCCCCTCAGGGCTTTTCACTTTCTGCTCTTTCTTCCTGGACTTCCTGCTCCCAGAACACTGTGTGGCTGCTCCGCTCTCCTTATTCAGCTCCTAGTTTCAAGTTCTCTTCTCCAGAGAGGCCGCCCTGCTACCCAGCTAGAGTGGCCTTCCCAGTGCTGTACAGCACGGCATGTGCTAGCTACTGCACAGCCCCTAGCAGCCCTCAGATGATCTTCTTTACTTGTCAGTGTGGTCACCATCCATCTCCTTCCTACCCCGCTTTCTCCAGGGCTGACTCTGTGGCACCTGCTGGTGTAGCCCAGCACTGGGAGTGGTGCCAGGCACACAGAGGGGCCTATACAGTGCTCATGCACTGCCTGGCTTTTCGTGGCTGTTCAGTGTCTGTACATATCAACAAAGTATTTGGGGGCATAGATGGGGGCCTTGGAGAGAATAAACCCAATTTTCCTTTCTTTTTTAGACCCGGAAACTAAGGATGAGAGAAGGTCAAGATATCACAGCACGCCGGTGACAGAGCTGTGCTGTCTCAGGCTTCAGAGGCGCCCTGCCAGTGGTGCTGATGCTGCTGGTCTCGGTGCAGGAGCGAGAGCAGTAAGCAGCCTGGTGGGCCATCCCTCAGCTGCACCACACATGCACAAAACTCCTACTGTCTGAACTGCAGACACTAGTTGAGAGGAAGAGTGTAGGCCCCTTGGGGCAGGTGTCAGTCATAGAATCCAAGCCTGCTGTGTCACACCATCAAGGAAAAGCACTCTGTAACATGGGAAGGCGAACTTACGGCCTTTGGATTCTTAGGAGGAGGCTAAGACTGAACACAGGCTGGGGTGAGGGGCCCCAGGTCTTGTCCTGGTGGGTGTTGGGAGACGGAAGGCAGAAGAAAAGGCCCATCCACAGTAGATGGGAGATGGGGCAGGCCCAGGAGGAAGGGGGACAGGCCAGTGCTGAAGGCTGGAGGGGCCTTCTTTTCTTCTTGACATGCCAGACTCATTTCCTCTGTGATTGTTACAGCATCCTCAGGCCTGGGTCTCTGACTGGTGTTTATATTCACAGCTCATTAGCGAGAACCACACTCCAATAGGAGGGTGAGATTTCTAGCCAGAGATTCACCAAGTTACCAAACCATCACTCAGCCCCTTCCTGTTTGGAGAAGGCTGGGCAAGGAGAGAGCTGGCTTTGGGGACAGAGAACAAAAGGAGCTGAAGATCGAGGGGAGAGAGATCTGCCAAGAGGGTGGGAGTGTGGGGCTGCACTGGGGCCTGTCTTGGTGCCCCCATACTGTCCCAGGAGCCCTTCCCCAGGAGGAAGCAGGGTCCCGCACATGTGAGTGATGGGAAGACCAGACCTGTGGCTTCAGGCACCTACGGGAAGCTCCCTACTTGCTTCTCCCCTGCTGCTAGCTCCAGCCCCACCCCCGCCCCCCAGTGTAGGTGACTTGGGGCCCTGGAGGAGCCACGAGGGAGGGGCACTCACATTTCTTCTGCAGGACATTCTGCCTGGCCTTGATGAACGCCAGAATGTCGGAGTCCGTCTGGCTGTCACCAGTGAGAGGGATGGAGGACATGGGCCTCTCGGGGATGCTGGCAACAATCACATGCGACGCTTTACTACACCTTGTGATGGGACTCAGCACTCACCTTCCCAAGGTGCTTTTCCATTTTTGGTGGCTTATCTCACCCAAGATGCTGTGTGACACAGCTGGCCTCTTTCTCCCTCCTCCCCACCTCTGTGCATCGGCCACACCAAGCCTTTTATCATGCACACTGGGTCATGTCACCCTCTGCCTTAAATCCTTTGGTGGCTTCTCATAATTCTTGTAACACAATTCCTCCTCTGACCATGACCTAGCAGGTGCTGTGTGATCTGAGCCCCATTCAGTAGGCTCCAGCCACCCTGACTTTCTGTCAGCTGAATGCATCAAGCTCCTTCCAGCCTCAGCGCTGTGCTTCAGCTGTTCCTTCTCCAGGGACTGCTCTCCCTCTCCCCCTAGACCTTCACACAGCTGATGTGCTTGGGGTCACCACTGTCTCAGTGTTTCACGATATCCCTCCTGTCCTCCAGCCCACCTCACCCAAACCAGCCCGTTACTTCTGGTCTGTCTCCTGTCCCAACTGATGTCCTGCCCTTAGGACATCTCCCCAGTGCATCCCCGCCCCCACCGTGGTTTAGCTACTTGCTTTCAAGGCAGGGATTACTATTCTCCTAAAAGCAGAACAATACTTAGCTTTGTTGCCACAACTAAAAAAAGTTACTTGTCTTGACTTTCTCTGCAGCTGTTAGTGTAGTCAGGTGACCAAGTTGTGGCCAATGAGGTTTACAAGCAGGAGTGCTGTGGTCGTGTGTGAGATTTCTAGGAAACCCCATAGAAAGGGAGAAGGTATGTGCCTTTCTCCTTCCTCTTTCTCCAGCCAACTCCTACCTACGGCATTCCCCGTGGGGAACCTCAGAGCAACATACTCACCTGGCTTCGCTAATCTTCACCCCCACACCTACCACTTTGCACAGCAGCAGGCGGTATCCACTTCTTTTTTTTTCTTTTTTTGAGACAAAGTCTCACTCTGTTGTCCAGGTGACTGCCTTGGTGTCATAGCTCACAGCAACCTCAGACTCCTGGGCTCAAATAATCCTCCTGCCTCAGCCTCCCAAGTAGCTATGACTACAGGTGCCTACCACAATGCCTGGCTAATTTTTCTATTTTTAGTAGAGATGGGGTCTCACTCTTGCTCAGGCTTGTCTCAAACTCCTGAGCTCAAGGGATCCTCTCTCCTTGACCAGTGCTGGGATCACAGATATGAGCCACCATACCCAGTCAGTGTCCACTTCTTTAGAGCAATGAGGACTGTATATAACAAAGGGTTGTGCATTGTCACAAGTAACTTTTAGTGTCCACGTTCCAGCTGCAGCTCAGCCAGGGCATGAAGGCAGAGCTGTGGCAGGGAGAGCTGTGGCAGGGAGAGCTGCTGGATCCTGTCAGTCTGCCTGGGGTGTGGGGGATTCAGTCCTGGGAAACTCTGGAAGGAGAGTCTACCAGGGGTCCTCAAACTTTTTAAATAGGAGGCCAGTTCACTGTCCCTCAGACCATTGGAGGGCTGGACTGCGGGCCCCGGGATGAGTTGGCTGCTAAGCAGGACAGGTAGCGGTGTCAAAAACTCCCGGCGGGCCGGATAAATGTCCTAGGCAGGCTGCATGTGGCCTGTGGGCCGTAGTTTGAGGATGCCTGGTCTATAGCCAGGTGAAGGCTGAGCAGGCATTGTGGACAGAGGACACAGACAGCATAGCTGGGGAAAGGCCTCATCCACTTTACTCAGCCCCTATGAAGATGCTCCTAGATCTTGAAGATAGGCTTGTCAGCTCTGTGTGGGGCTAGTGGGCTATAACTGTGCCTAGGCTGGCTCTTTCTTCTCATGGCCCCAGAAACATTTATGAACAAGGAGATGTGTGCTGTACAGGGCCCCGTGACCCTGGGAGAATTTCCTCACCTCTGAGAGTAGGCATGTATGAGAGACTCCAGAGATTCACAGGGGACCAGGGCAATAGCCAGCCTTGGACTCTGTGCAGCTGCTGGACAAGGGGAGCTGATGGGTGGTTCTGGCCCACTATGCCCACTGCAGAGAACGCAGGGGAAGAGAAGACCACAGACCTGTTTTCCAGGGAGGTGCTGGTGCTACTCCATTCCTGGCTGCGTGGGCTGGGGCAAGGTGAGGGCAGGATTTTCCTGGTATACACGTCACTACAGCAAAACACAAACCAGATGAAACAGACAATAAGGGGATGAGTTTGTAGAAGATAAACAGAGACTTTATATCTAGGGGCTGCTATGGACTGAATGTGTCTGCCCAAAATTCATAGGTTGAATCCCTAATCCCCAATGTGATGGTATTTGGAGGTGGTTAGGTTGAGATGAGGTCCTGAGAGTGGGGCCCCCACATTAGGCTTAGTGTCCTTGTAGGAAAAGAAAAACCAGAGCTTGCTCGTGCACCCTCTCTCTGCCATGTGAGGTCACAGGAGAAGGAGGCATCTGAGAGGGAGGAAGGAAGCCCTCACGGGCCCTGGATCTGCTGGGTTACAGACTGAGTGTGTCCCCCGACATTCACAGGCTGTGAGGGTGTTGCAGGGTATGGGGTAGAACTCTCATGGATGGGATTATTCTTCCACCATGCGAACAACAGCAGAAAGACAGCACTCACCAGACACTGGGTGTGCCAGCACCTTGATCTTGGACGTCCCAGCCTCCAGAGCTGTGAAAAGTAAATGTGTGTTGTTCAAGTCACCCAGTCTATGCTATGTTGTTATAGCAGGGCACGCAGAGGAAGAGCCACGACTCCTCTGCTCGGGTGGTTCCTGTGTTCATTCTCCTGATGGAGCACGGCATGTGTCAGCTCAGGAAGGTGAGCAGACAGCAACCACCACGTTGTCACTCATGGGGATCGTCACAGGCCAGGCCATGTGACAGTGCACTGCAAACCTCCCGCCATTTGGTCCTCTTTGTGGCCTAAGAGGGAGATGTCATTGCCCCCATTTTATAGATGAGAAAACCAGGCTTAGAGAGGTTAAGGAAATGCCAAAAGTACCCGGATGGTCAGTGGCAGAATCTGGATCTTGTCAGGACTCTGTGAGGTTTCGGGACCTGTGCTGTCAGCGACATGCTTTATCATCTCTGTCGTGTGCCAGGAGGCACACACTGGCTTACCCCTGACCACACCAACTGCCCCTGCTGGCCCAGCTGAGCAGCTCATGCTCTCTGAGTTGGGGGTGGGGCAGATCCTACAGCTCACCAGATGCAGCTGTGCCCATTTACCTAGGCTGCCGGATGCAAGCCCCTTGCCTGGGATTCCTGGTGCATGCAGTGAGCCTAGAAGCTCCTCTTGAGAGGTGAAGAGGTACATGGACACAGCTGGCGGGTTGCTGGTTTATTTACAATGATAAGGTCTCTACTCTGCATTATGTTGTAAGGACTCAGTGGCAGGATCCTCTTCCTTGCTTTGATGGTCCTCCCTGGGGACAATGTCAGAGCCGGAAGAGGACCAAGACGTCACCTGGCAGGAACCCTCCTCTCGCAGTTGGGAACACTCAGCTGCGAGGCAAGCTAGGGTTAGAGACAGGTGAGCTGGCTTTGCCCAGTTTGCATCCTCAGTCCAACACACTCCACAGACCTGACAAATTGCTTGTCCCACCCTCGGGGACGGCCCCTTCCCCAGCTGCAGCCTTCTGTCCTCTCCCATCTCAGCCAGTGGTAGGGCCTTTTACTTGGGGCCTCCACTTGGGATCATGACTGTGGGTCAAACAACAGGAAAGGAAATTAAAGCCCAGGACTCCCCACCCCAGCCAGTGGCAGTGCTCACTTCCTAGCAGCCCAGAGTCTCCACCGTGCCCTTGGGAAGCTGGAGGCTCTTTGTGCTGTGGGGCCAGCGGCTGCCACAAGGTGGCAGGCTGTGCATGATTTTCTTTACAGAACAGTGGCCAACTCTCAGGGCTCCTGCTGAGGTTCCTGGTGCAGGAGGGAGAAGGGAAGGAGAAAGGGCTTTCCCTTCTGCAGGTGCTTCCACTGCAGTGGATGGAGGTTAGTTTGGAAGCTGTGGCTAGTTTGCAAGACCAAGTCCTTTGCACACAAATCACTCATTAACTTTCCAGTGAAGCTTTGCTCAGATCCTACAAAGAGTTCAGAAGTGCCAAACCGTTGAGGGTTGGAAGAGGGTGGAAGAAGAGGAGAGATGGACTGGGGCGGGGCAGAAGGGTGATCATATGGTGGCAGACGGGGCATCCAGCACCGTCTGTGGCAGCCCGGCTGCCCAGACTGTGTAAGACACCAGTTCATGTGGTGGGACAGCACAATGCAAAGGCTTGACGTTCCTGAGAGAACTGACTCCCCCAACCCCGAAGCTGCTCAAGGGTCCCTGGATGCCACAGCTTTGTTTCTGTAACCACTGAAATTGTGCCACAGATGACCTTTGCCCTCTCTCTTTGATCAACCAGCTTTGACACTAAATTCCTTTCTCACGTTGAAATCCCTTCTGGAGAGAGAGCACACCAGCTATCAGAATGAATTACCTCTTTCTTAATAAGAATGAATAAGCAATATTAATACAAATTAGGCCTCCTGGGTTGCCAACCAGAGTGCTTAGTGCGATCAGCCTTCAGGACCTGAGCACCCCTAGGGAAGCAATGAATCAGATTTCTTCCAGAACCTGGTGAGCTGAGGACCAGCCTGGCCTGCAGTGATTCAATCAAGCACAGCTCCCTGGAGCTCAGGCAGAAACAGCCAGCTGGGTCTTGCTCTGTCACTTCAGCAGCTCTGAAATGGCACTGGAACATTTATCTGGTCATACAATGACCCTGTCAGAGGGACCCGGCTGCACCTTACTAATGAGGGGAGGAACCCCAGGGGGAGAGCTGGCTGGCCCAAGAGCACACTGCTTTAGAGAGCTACAACCGGGACTCAGGGGAGACCCTCTGGGAAGGTCTACACTGAGGGACTCCATGGAGCTGGCCAGTGATGATCTGATGTATGCCTTTGAAATCCAAAGTCCTGCACTGCAGGGTTAAGGATCTCTTGGCAAGCACATCCAGGGATCATCCTCAGTTGGAAAACCCAGGGAATGTCCAAGGCCAGAATAACATAATGTATATGTGTCCCCAGGGGCAGTCCTTGATGCTAAATAAAATTCCTGTGAGGACAGAGAGTAGTGGCAAGTCTGTGATGGGCTTGGGTTCAGATCTCACCATTGATTAGCTGGGTGACACTGAGCAAGCTCCTTAATCTATGTGAGCCTGAGGTTTTCGTCTGTAGAGCAGGGGACAATGATAGCATGCACACTGCACATTTGTTCAGTGCCTGGTCCACAGGGCCCTGGATAAATGACAGGGGCTATTATAGCTGTAAGAGACAAAGCCAATGCTGTCTCCTTGGAGAATTTAAGAACACCAATAGCTAATGCTCCACTGTGGGCTGTTCGCAGCGAATGTTTGAGAGGCCGTGATGACCTGTGACAGCCCTCCCATCCCGTTTCATCCCAGCAGAGCTTTGTGAGCTCTTTACCACCAGGTTTCTAAAACAAATGGTGGTGATTTCTTTGTCAGAGGCAGCAGCTCTCTTTCCAATTTCTAGCAGGGAAACTTCTTCCCAGCAACCTAGAGTGACCTTCTTACCCACAAATCTTGGCACTCAGACTACTGTGGGCGAGGCAACTCGGGGGACCTCGCTACTCACAATTGACATGTCTTAACAAGCACTGTGCAAGACACTCAGAGGTTGCAAATTCAAACTCACATGCCTCCAGACCAGAGGCTGGCAGTAACCCAGTGTGCAGCGTGGGCCAGTGCAGAACATGCTGCCTGTCTGTACTGCCACACAGCTATGCAGCTATGTTGCCTTGCTAAGCTGCCTTTATTGCCACACACAGCAATGAGGCTGCCTTGCTACACTGCTTTGTTATTATTATTTTTAGTGAATAGATTGTGTTGGGGGAAAATTTTCAGAGTTACAGGAAATTGAGAACATAGTACAGTTCCCATATATTCTTTCCCCCCCACCCTTGCAGTGTTTCCTATTATTAACACCTTGCGCTAGTGTGGTTACTTTGTTACAAGATACACTATTACGAACTGAAGTCCATATCTAACTTTTTGTGCTGTTATTCTGAGGATTTTGACAAATGCATAATATCCTATATCCACCATTATAATAGCACAGAGAAGCTTCATTGCCCGTGTCCCACCTATTCATCTATCCCGCCCCACAAGTCCATGGCAACCACTGATCTTTATACTGTGTTCATAGTTTTTCCTTTTCCGGAATGTCATATAGTTGCATAGCCTTTTCCTATTGGCTTCTTTCACTAAACAATATGCATGTAAGGTTCCTTGGTGCCTT